ATTAAAGTTAAATTCCTACTTGTTAAAGTTGAAATTGGAACCTTTGTTTCATCCCTAATTCCAAAACTAATAAATTTATAAACTTCAAAATTTTAAAACACATTTATAAAGAGTGTAGAATAATTATTCTACAAACAAAATTCTTCAACTCCAACAGCTATTAAAGATAAAGAGTATCAAAGTTAAATTCTTACTTGTTAAAGTTGAAATTGGAACCTTTGTTTCGTCCCTAATTCCAAAACTAATAGATTTATAAACTTCAAAATTTCAGAACACATTTATTAAGAGTGTAGAAAGATTATTCTGCAAACAAAATTCTTAAATATCAACAGCTCCTAAAGATAGAGAGTATCAAAATTTAATTCCTACTTATTAAAGTTGAAATTGGAACCTTTGTTTCATACCTAATTCCAAAACTAATAGATTTATAAACTTCAAAATTTGAGAACACATTAATAAAGAGTGTAGAAAGATTATTCTGCAAACAAAATTCTTAAATATCAACAGCTGTTAAAGATAGAGAGTATTAAAGTTAAATTCCTACTTGTTAAAGTTGAAATTGGAACCTTTGTTTCATCCCTAATTCCAAAACTAATAAATTTATAAACTTCAAAATTTTACAACACATTTATAAAGAGTGTAGAATAATTATTCTACAAACAAAATTCTTCAACTCCAACAGCTATTAAAGATAAAGAGTATCAAAGTTAAATTCTTACTTGTTAAAGTTGAAATTGGAACCTTTGTTTCGTCCCTAATTCCAAAACTAATAGATTTATAAACTTCAAAATTTCAGAACACATTTATTAAGAGTGTAGAAAGATTATTCTGCAAACAAAATTCTTAAATATCAACAGCTCCTAAAGATAGAGAGTATCAAAATTTAATTCCTACTTATTAAAGTTGAAATTGGAACCTTTGTTTCATACCTAATTCCAAAACTAATAGATTTATAAACTTCAAAATTTGAGAACACATTAATAAAGAGTGTAGAAAGATTATTCTGCAAACAAAATTCTTAAATATTAACAGCTATTAAAGATAGAGAGTATCAAAGTTAAATTCCTACTTGTTAAAGTTGAAATTGGAACCTTTGTTTCGTCCCTAATTCCAAAACTAATAGATTTATAAACTTCAAAATTTCAGAACACATTTATTAAGAGTGTAGAAAGATTATTCTGCAAACAAAATTCTTAAATATCAACAGCTCCTAAAGATAGAGAGTATCAAAATTTAATTCCTACTTATTAAAGTTGAAATTGGAACCTTTGTTTCATACCTAATTCCAAAACTAATAGATTTATAAACTTCAAAATTTGAGAACACATTAATAAAGAGTGTAGAAAGATTATTCTGCAAACAAAATTCTTAAATATCAACAGCTATTAAAGATAGAGAGTATCAAAGTTAAATTCCTACTTGTTAAAGTTGAAATTGGAACCTTTGTTTCGTCCCTAATTCCAAAACTAATAGATTTATAAACTTCAAAATTTCAGAACACATTTATTAAGAGTGTAGAAAGATTATTCTGCAAACAAAATTCTTAAATATCAACAGCTCCTAAAGATAGAGAGTATCAAAATTTAATTCCTACTTATTAAAGTTGAAATTGGAACCTTTGTTTCATACCTAATTCCAAAACTAATAGATTTATAAACTTCAAAATTTGAGAACACATTAATAAAGAGTGTAGAAAGATTATTCTGCAAACAAAATTCTTAAATATCAACAGCTGTTAAAGATAGAGAGTATCAAAGTTAAATTCCTACTTGTTAAAGTTGAAATTGGAACCTTTGTTTCATCCCTAATTCCAAAACTAATAAATTTATAAACTTCAAAATTTTACAACACATTTATAAAGAGTGTAGAATAATTATTCTACAAACAAAATTCTTCAACTCCAACAGCTATTAAAGATAAAGAGTATCAAAGTTAAATTCTTACTTGTTAAAGTTGAAATTGGAACCTTTGTTTCGTCCCTAATTCCAAAACTAATAGATTTATAAACTTCAAAATTTCAGAACACATTTATTAAGAGTGTAGAAAGATTATTCTGCAAACAAAATTCTTAAATATCAACAGCTCCTAAAGATAGAGAGTATCAAAATTTAATTCCTACTTATTAAAGTTGAAATTGGAACCTTTGTTTCATACCTAATTCCAAAACTAATAGATTTATAAACTTCAAAATTTGAGAACACATTAATAAAGAGTGTAGAAAGATTATTCTGCAAACAAAATTCTTAAATATCAACAGCTGTTAAAGATAGAGAGTATTAAAGTTAAATTCCTACTTGTTAAAGTTGAAATTGGAACCTTTGTTTCATCCCTAATTCCAAAACTAATAAATTTATAAACTTCAAAATTTTACAACACATTTATAAAGAGTGTAGAATAATTATTCTACAAACAAAATTCTTCAACTCCAACAGCTATTAAAGATAAAGAGTATCAAAGTTAAATTCTTACTTGTTAAAGTTGAAATTGGAACCTTTGTTTCGTCCCTAATTCCAAAACTAATAGATTTATAAACTTCAAAATTTCAGAACACATTTATTAAGAGTGTAGAAAGATTATTCTGCAAACAAAATTCTTAAATATCAACAGCTCCTAAAGATAGAGAGTATCAAAATTTAATTCCTACTTATTAAAGTTGAAATTGGAACCTTTGTTTCATACCTAATTCCAAAACTAATAGATTTATAAACTTCAAAATTTGAGAACACATTAATAAAGAGTGTTAAAAGATTATTCTGCAAACAAAATTCTTAAATATCAACAGCTGTTAAAGATAGAGAGTATTAAAGTTAAATTCCTACTTGTTAAAGTTGAAATTGGAACCTTTGTTTCATCCCTAATTCCAAAACTAATAAATTTATAAACTTCAAAATTTTACAACACATTTATAAAGAGTGTAGAATAATTATTCTACAAACAAAATTCTTCAACTCCAACAGCTATTAAAGATAAAGAGTATCAAAGTTAAATTCTTACTTGTTAAAGTTGAAATTGGAACCTTTGTTTCGTCCCTAATTCCAAAACTAATAGATTTATAAACTTCAAAATTTCAGAACACATTTATTAAGAGTGTAGAAAGATTATTCTGCAAACAAAATTCTTAAATATCAACAGCTCCTAAAGATAGAGAGTATCAAAATTTAATTCCTACTTATTAAAGTTGAAATTGGAACCTTTGTTTCATACCTAATTCCAAAACTAATAGATTTATAAACTTCAAAATTTGAGAACACATTAATAAAGAGTGTAGAAAGATTATTCTGCAAACAAAATTCTTAAATATCAACAGCTGTTAAAGATAGAGAGTATTAAAGTTAAATTCCTACTTGTTAAAGTTGAAATTGGAACCTTTGTTTCATCCCTAATTCCAAAACTAATAAATTTATAAACTTCAAAATTTTAAAACACATTTATAAAGAGTGTAGAATAATTATTCTACAAACAAAATTCTTCAACTCCAACAGCTATTAAAGATAAAGAGTATCAAAGTTAAATTCTTACTTGTTAAAGTTGAAATTGGAACCTTTGTTTCGTCCCTAATTCCAAAACTAATAGATTTATAAACTTCAAAATTTCAGAACACATTTATTAAGAGTGTAGAAAGATTATTCTGCAAACAAAATTCTTAAATATCAACAGCTCCTAAAGATAGAGAGTATCAAAATTTAATTCCTACTTATTAAAGTTGAAATTGGAACCTTTGTTTCATACCTAATTCCAAAACTAATAGATTTATAAACTTCAAAATTTGAGAACACATTAATAAAGAGTGTAGAAAGATTATTCTGCAAACAAAATTCTTAAATATCAACAGCTGTTAAAGATAGAGAGTATCAAAGTTAAATTCCTACTTGTTAAAGTTGAAATTGGAACCTTTGTTTCGTCCCTAATTCCAAAACTAATAGATTTATAAACTTCAAAATTTCAGAACACATTTATTAAGAGTGTAGAAAGATTATTCTGCAAACAAAATTCTTAAATATCAACAGCTCCTAAAGATAGAGAGTATCAAAATTTAATTCCTACTTATTAAAGTTGAAATTGGAACCTTTGTTTCATACCTAATTCCAAAACTAATAGATTTATAAACTTCAAAATTTGAGAACACATTAATAAAGAGTGTAGAAAGATTATTCTGCAAACAAAATTTTTAAATATCAACAGCTGTTAAAGATAGAGAGTATCAAAGTTAAATGCCTACTTGTTAAAGTTGAAATTGGAACCTTTGTTTCATCCCTAATTCCAAAACTAATAAATTTATAAACTTCAAAATTTTAAAACACATTTATAAAGAGTGTAGAATCATTATTCTATAAACAAAATTCTTCAACTCCAACAGCTATTAAAGATAAAGAGTATCAAAGTTAAATTCCTACTTGTTAAAGTTGAAATTGGAACCTTTGTTTCGTCCCTAATTCCAAAACTAATAGATTTATAAACTTCAAAATTTGAGAACACATTAATAAAGAGTGTAGAAAGATTATTCTGCAAACAAAATTCTTAAATATCAACAGCTGTTAAAGATAGAGAGTATCAAAGTTAAATTCCTACTTGTTAAAGTTGAAATTGGAACCTTTGTTTCGTCCCTAATTCCAAAACTAATAAATTTATAAACTTCAAAATTTCAGAACACATTTATAAAGACTGTAAAAAGATTATTCTGCAAACAAAAACGTTTTTTACCAAAAAAAACATGTTGCAGACTTTCAAAAAAGTTATAAATCTGGAATAATATTGAAAAGATCCAAACTGATATAAATTTAAGTTTGCAACTTCTTTTTTTCACAAAGTTGTAACAAATTTTAAATTTTTGCAATTATTAACATGTTCTAGATCTCATAAAAAGTTTAAAAATTAAATTTATTGTTATTTAAATTAAATAAATAGTTTTTAATGTACAAATTTTCATTCTTGTACAACTCAGACACCTTTTACATTAAATTAATCTCATCAAAAAGATAATAAATTCGTTTTTTTTTTAGGTTGTCACAATGAATACAAAAATTCGACCAATCAAGAAAAAGTTTATTCCCAGACAGAATACTTTATGTCCACCTAATGAACCATGTGATAAAACACCAGGTTACCCACTAAGAGCTATTACTGCATTACTCAAAAGAAATAAGAAAAAAATCGAATTCCTATCCGGGACAGCAATGCAACCGTTGAACGAAGCTACATTTCGAAGTCCAGAAGACCCAGAGAATCTTTGCAAAACGAGGAGATACTCAGTAGCACCTAAAACGGCTCCAGATATCCAAAATAATACGAAATTTATTGTTAACGTGGAAGGTTTTAAGCAACTGGTTACATATGAAAATTGCATGAGAGAGAAGTAATTTAACATTCTTAAAATATCAATTTTTGAGGGGGGGGGGAGAATTTTTGCTACATACTGTATGTACTTATTGATATATTTTTATTTTTTCAGAGACGGCTCCGAAAAAGCTTGTACTGGATATGAATTTTGGCCAAACGACTTCAAAACCACCTGCAGACAAGCGCATACCGTCATCAGAATGCTGAGTCTAACTTACTCTGGAAAAATGGATTACGCATATTTTCCTATCCCAAGTGGTTGCTACTGTGCGTACACTAAACTGAACAAATTTGATTACGATTGAAACGAAGATAAGACTAATATTAAAAAAATAACGAAAAAAGGAATAAGACTTGTTAATTTTCGTGTAATTATATTGACAAAAATTGGGAAATCTACTTTTTTTTTTGAGAAATTGCGCATTTTTAAAGGTCTTAAAAACGTATTTAGAGGTCTTGCTATGTAATGATTTTTTTTTCTTTATCTATTTTTGAGTTTTCTTCAAAATTCGAAATTTACACGTTTTCTCAAATATCTCGAATACGGTCCATTTTAGAGAAATTATGTATAGGATAAAAATTATAGGGAATTACATTACAAACAACTTTTATTTAAACAATTTTTAAAAAAAAGTTATTTTTTTATATTTTGTCAAATTTCTTGAATACGGACCATTTTAGGAAAATTTTGTATATAGCAAAAATTATAGACAATAATATTGTAAGTAACTTTTATTTAAAGAATTTTCTTCTCCAAACGTAAATAACAGATATATTCCATAAAATATAAAAATGCCCATTTATAAAGTACCCCCCAGATGTTCCGACTCTGCCCAAAAACTATTCAGTTTATTGGAGTCTGAAATAAAACTTAAGTTTAAAATTTAACGTTTTTTCCTCTATCCGTTTTTGAGTTTTCTTCAAAATTCTTAATTTACACATTTTCTCAAATATCTCGAATACGGCCCATTTTAGGGAAATTATATATAGAATAAAAATTATAGATAATTATATTACAAACAACTTTTGTTTGAACAATTTTTATAAAAAGTTATTTTTTTATATTTTGTCAAATTTCTTGAATACGGACCATTTTAGGAAAATTTTGTAAAGATCAAAAATTATAGACAATAATATTGTAAAAAACTTTTATTTGAAGAATGTTCTTCTCCAAACGTAAATAACAGATATATTCCATAAAATATAAAAATGCCCATTTATAAAGTACCCCCCCCCCCCCCAGATGTTCCGACTCTGCCCAAAATCTATTCAGTTTATTGGAGGCCGAAATAAAACTTAAGTTTAAAATTTAACGTTTTTTCCTCTATCCGTTTTTGAGTTTTCTTCAAAATTCGAAATTTACACATTTTCTCAAATATCTCGAATGCGGCCCATTTTAGGGAAATTATATATAGAATAAAAATTATAGATAATTATATTACAAACAACTTTTATTTGAACAATTTTTATAAAAAATAATTATTTTTAACATTTTGTCAAATTTCTCGAATACGGACCATTTTAGGAAAATTTTGTAAAGAACAAAAATTATAAACAATAATATTGTAAATAACTTTTATTTGAAGAATTTTCTTCTCCAAACGTAAATAACAGATATATTCCATAAAATATAAAAATGCCCATTTATAAAGTACCCCCCAGATGTTCCGACTCTGCCCAAAATCTATTCAGTTTATTGGAGTCTGAAATAAAACTTAAGTTTAAAATTTAACGTTTTTTCCTCTATCCGTTTTTGAGTTTTCTTCAAAATTCTTAATTTACACATTTTCTCAAATATCTCGAATACGGCCCATTTTAGGGAAATTATATATAGAATAAAAATTATAGATAATTATATTACAAACAACTTTTGTTTGAACAATTTTTATAAAAAATAATTTTTTTTAACATTTTAGCAAATTTCTTGAATACGGACCATTTTAGAAAAATTTTGCATATAACAAAAATTATAGACAATAATATTGTAAGTAACTTTTATTTGAAGAATTTTCTTCTCCAAACGTAAATAACAGATATATTCCATAAAATATAAAAATGCCCATTTATAAAGTACCCCCCAGATGTTCCGACTCTGCCCAAAATCTATTTTGTTTATTGGAGGCCGAAATGAAACTTAAGTTTAAAATTTAACGTTTTCTCCTTTATCCGTTTTTGAGTTTTCTTCAAAATTCGAAATTTACACATTTTCTCAAATTTCTCGAATACGGCCCATTTTAGGGAAATTATATATAGAATAAAAATTATAGATAATTATATTACAAACAACTTTCATTTGAACAATTTTTATAAAAAATAATTATTTTTAACATTTTGTCAAATTTCTCGAATACGGATCATTTTAAGAAAATTTTGTAAAGAACAAAAATTATAGACAATAATATTGTAAATAACTTTTATTTGAAGAATTTTCTTTTCCAAACGTAAATAACAGATATATTCCATAAAATATAAAAATACCCACCTATAAAGTACCCTCCCAGATGTTCCGACTCTGCCCAAAATCTATTCAATTTATTGGAGTCTGAAATAAAACTTAAGTTTAAAATTTAACGTTTTTTCCTCTATCCGTTTTTGAGTTTTCTTCAAAATTCTTAATTTACACATTTTCTCAAATATCTCGAATACGGCCCATTTTAGGGAAATTATATATAGAATAAAAATTATAGATAATTATATTACAAACAACTTTTATTTGAACAATTTTTATAAAAAATAATGTTTTTAACATTTTGTCAAATTTCTCGAATACGGACCATTTTAGGAAAATTTTGTAAAGAACAAAAATTATAGACAATAATATTGTAAAAAACTTTTATTTGAAGAATTTTCTTCTCCAAACGTAAATAACAGATATATTCCATAAAATATAAAAATGTCCACCTATAAAGTACCCCCCCAGATGTTCCGACTCTGCCCAAAATCTATTCAGTTTATTGGAGGCCGAAATAAAACTTAAGTTTAAAATTTAACGTTTTTTCCTCCATCCGTTTTTGAGTTTTCTTCAAAATTCTAAATTTACACATTTTCTCAAATATCTCGAATACGGACCATTTTAGAAAATTTTTATAAGGAACAAAAATTATAGAAAACAATATTGTAAGTAACTTTTATTTAAAGAATTTTCTTCTCCAAACGTAAATAACAGATATATTCCATAAAATATAAAAAACTTAATTTTTTCACCAATTTTTTCAATTTTTTCTTTAAAAAACCAAATTAAAATTTGAAAAACTTACTATCATTCATTTTCTAATGCAAAAGTTTCTCTATAAACAAATTTTATTGCATTTTTTTTATTATTCAAATCAAATTTAAATAAACAAAATAAAAAAAATAAACATTTATTTTTTGCAATTATTCATAAATCTTTTTTTATTTTGTTTTACAGAAAATAAACAAGTTTTATTCCCAAATAAAATCAACTCGAATAAAACCCTGTCTCGACGTGCTTTAACCTGTTTTTACAACAATGTGATAATTATTTAATTTATTTATTATATGAATAAAAAAGAAAAATAAAAAATAGTAAATTGTATAACGAAAAAAAACATGTTTTATTGCTTATCCTGTAATCATTCTTTATTCCTAACTAGCAACAATCCAAAAGTAAACATCTTAAAAACGTCAAAGATACACTGGCTAGAGAGTTAAATATCCTTAAGGACGCCACTGCCCTTTTGGATATAGATAACAAGATTTAAATTTTAATTTTAGTTAATTTTTTTATACATATATAAGTATTTTGATCCAAATTTATTGCGAAAGTATAGAGAAAACCAAAACACTTCCAGTAAACAAGAACTAGGAAGCATTTCTGATGAATTACCTGGAGCTTCATCAAGCCAACATGATCAGCTGGGGCACATTTGTGAGGCATTATCTAGACCACAATAAAGTTGAGTTAGTTTTTGAGATATTCGCACATACTTGGAAATTCTTAAACTTTTAAATGTCTAAAAAGAGTACATTATTTATTTAAAAAACATCAAAAGATTTAAAATTTTATGTCCAAATCACTTTTTGGATAGTGACGCCACTGGAAAAGTTGCTGATAGGTGGATATTATAACCCCAAAAACGTTTGCCAAATTTAGAAAAATTGTTGTGACGAGAAACATTTTATCTAATCATGATTTGTTTAGTTGTCTTATTTTTATTCATGAATCGTCAGTTAGTTCTATGACCCATTCTTAACGAAACACCATGTATAGTATAATAGGTCCCTACGTAATGATACGAAAACCTTTATCCTTTGTTGACTGGACACAAAAATTAACTACTAACTAAATATATATACCGATGTCCCGAATCTAATCCAAAACTTTTATTTAGGTACCTGCTATATCGAAAATATTTGTCAGGGTCAAGAACTCGTTGTTATTTTATAACAATTACCGTTTAGAATAAATAAAATTATTACGCCATCTATTGAACAAAAGAACTATTAAATATGGAATATTGCTCCATCTGTTGAACAAAAGGATTCTTAATTTATGACATATAAATGACATCCATCAAAATTAGTTCATGTTACGAATATTGGGGGGTGGTACCTTAAGTGGTATTTGTACCTAACTTATTTCTGTCTAACACCGTATTTGGTTTTGCAAGATAGAAACCCCAACATCGCTTCAAAAAGGAAGTACCCTCAAAAGCCACTGTGGGATAAATTAAAGGACTTTTTTTATATATTATACCTGTTATTAAACCTACTTATTAATTTTTTTATATTTATATAAGTTTTAGAGATATTTTTTTATTAATTGATAATATTATAAATATCGCATTGACTAATGTCGCACTATTTTTTTTAATTATTTAAAAAGTCTAGAACAATATAAAGATTTTTTTAACAAAAATAAAGATATATATTTAATTAAACTATTATAGTCAACTTAATATTACGATAACTCAAAGCAGAAATTCAGAAAACTTCTGAAAATATGTTTTATACTAGAACAAGGACATTTTCATATATAATTGAAAAAAGACTCACCTTATATAAAAACCATGCTGCTTTCTTTTCATCCCACTAACAGCTGATCCATTTTACTTCACAATCTACCCATAATTCGATCCATATCTATTTTCTTTCACTCCGGAAATCTTCTATTACCGGCGACGTCAGTTCATTCCAACATCAACAATCATTCTATCATTCCCAACCTCTAATAAAGCCCCTAGATACTCATACAATTTATAAACATTTCAAAATCAAACACTTACAACAAAAAAAACAAAAATTTTAAGTCTGTATCTGTATTTGATTCTAGAAAGTTTAATATAATTATACAAGATATCACCAGGCTTTATCGCTGCAGCCTTGTCTATTCAACCCAAGAATTTACATCAGAAATTAAATATTATAGAGCTAACATATCTTAGAATCAAATTCTAAAAAATGTAACCCTTAATAAATGATTTCAAACGACATAAATAGCGTGGATCAAACATCTTT